TTCCCATCCCACAGTAGAGGTTTATGGCCCGGTAAATATGTGTCAGCACACATTTTTCTTTCTTTCTTTCTTTCTTTTTTTTTTAAGATTTTTATTTATTTGATAGAGAACACAAGTAGGCAGAGAGGCAGGCAGAGAGAGGAAGGGAAGCAGGCTCCCTGCTGAGCAGAGAGCCTGATGCGGGGCTCGGTCCCAGGACCCTGGGATCATGACCTGAGCTGAAGGCAGAAGCTTTAACCTACTGAGCCGCCCAGGTGCCCCAGCACACATTTTTCGAATGAAAGTTTCATTCTGTGATGAAAAGAGCATAGTGGTGACTAGTCTTCTGTGATTGGTAATGCCCTTATCATCACATCTTTGTTTTATCAATATCCCCTCTCTCTGGACTATTTTGTGAAGAACTAGGGCAGCTGGAAGGGCAGTCGGCCCCAGGACTGTGGTCTGTGGCTCCTGATGACTTGTGGTACAGGGGAGATGACGACAGTGAGCAGAGCAGCTGGGGCACAGCCGGGGACAGTAACCAGGGCCTACTGTGGAGCAAGAACATTGAACCAGTGGCCAGAGCTCTACTGTCAGGAGAGTTGAGATGTGTGCGGACTGAGCTGGGGAGAGCAGGAATGTCGCCAAGGCTGGGCATCAGGTGGTCAGAGCAAAACTGAGGGCAGGCCTGGGCACCAGAGGTGGGCTAAAAACAAGTGGAAAACACGATTCTTTGGACATCCTGGAAGTATTTTTCCAGCACAGTGTGTCTAAAATCAGCCTCCCCTTATTCTCTCTGTGATCTCCCTTGTATCTGGTAGTAAGGTATATCCCATTGGCCAGCCTTGAGATCTCGAGTTTTGTTGGCGTCCCATCATCTTCGCATTAGTCCTTCACGGTGGCTCTGCCTCCACTGGGAAAGGCCTCGGCGTTCCAACTGTGGCTCTTCCACACTAGGACCTGAGGTGAGGTCACTTAACCTCTGAAAGTTACCTGTGTGACCACAGTCTTGAGAATTGGAGGGAAGTGGAGAAACTCCTTGTGACCCCTCAGCCCACTGCTGGTGCAGTGCTCTGTAGCTCTGGGCCCACCTCCTGCTTCGCCTCCCCACCTCTTCTGGCTCGGCCTTCCCAACCACAGGACTCTCTGATCGAGGCTCATCCCAGCTCAGAAAGCTTCGTGGCATCTTCGTTAACTATGAGCATGAAGCCCCAGGCCCCTGTCCTGCTCCTAAGGACTCTCCGCTCTCTGGCCTCAGTCTGCATTTCTTTCCATTTCTTTTCTTTCTTTCCTCTTACTCTTCTTCTCCTTCTTCTTCTTCTTCTTTTTTTTTTTTTTTAACGATTTATTTGTTTATTTCAGAGAGAAAGAGAGCTAGCGAGCATGAGTAGGGGGAGGGCCAGAGGGAGAGGGAGACAAGCAGACTTCCCTTGAGCAGGAAGTCTGATGCAAGGCTTGATCCCCTGACCCCGAGATCCTGACCTGAGCTGAAACCAAGAGTCCCCTGCTCAACCAATGGAGCCACCCAGGTGTTCCCCCCCCCCCCCCCCCCCCTCCCCCCCCTGCCTGCACTTCTGTTCTCATGCCCTTAACACTTAACTTTGCGTGCTTTGTCCAGCCACATCGAGCTGCTTTGCCACATTCAGGACAGGCCCCTATCCAAGCGTCCCTACTCAGACTTGAAGGTGCTCTTTCCCACACCACTGCGGTTCCAAGACCTTGCTGTCTTTCCAGCCGCTGTCCACGTGCTCCCATCTCTGCCGCACCTCCCTGGGCCCCTGGTCTCAGCCTCAGGCTTCAGTAATTCCTTTCTCTGAGCTTCCATTCATCTTCCTCTGGACTCTTGGCATGCTTACTGCTGTATGTTTTGTGGTATTGGGGCACATGACTTACTAACCTCTCGTATTCTGAGTCCTGGTGAATTCTTCCCGAGCGCTTAGCACAGTGCCCATCTGTTGCAGTCAGTACTGTCGTAAGTCAGCGGGGCATGGGGATGGTAACACGCTGACGAAGGGCTGACAGATGCTCCACTGAGTCTTCTTAGCTCTGTTGGCAAACACGAGTTGACCATGTATGCCTGAGCTTTTTCTGGGCTCTCAGTTTGTTGCATTGGTCCATGTGTCCATTTTATGCTAGGGCTATGCTGTTTTGATGACTGTAAATTTGTAATAAAATATGAAATCAGGAAAAAGACAAACAGTCGATGGGTGCTTCGGAGCTAAAAGGACAGGAAAGCAGCAGCGTCGCACTGGCCTTGATTGGCGGACAGCTCGAGTTCCCAGCCAGCCACGAGCCTTTTTGTGGTTGCTGTTGAGCTGGGAAGAGGCAAGCCAGCTGACTTGAGTGGCCGTTATATGCCAGTCACCCTCCTAGATGTTTTACTTGATTCACTCATTTGAACCCCAGTCAGATTGCATTCTTCCCTTTCTTAATTAACTCTTCATTGGCTTCTTGTTAACACTTAGAATAAAGTCCAAGCTGTATCACTAGCCCTGCAGAATCCCTAAACATGTCCTGCCTTTCCTTAACAGGACGCTTGTACCCTGCCTCCTCACTTCACCCCTCCCTAAGGCTTTGCCTACGAATCCCAGGTCTGTCTGTCTTTTGAAACCTTAAAACCCACCCGTTAAGGTAGCTGTGAATTTGCTGTCTTTGTGTGGTGCCTTTTTCAAAAACACATTCTTAGGTTGTTTCATCTGGTTTTATATCTGTCCATAATCTTTGGGCTCTCTTTTGCAGAGACAAGAGTACAGAGGGAATGAAATGCCAAGAAAACTGGACAGTGTGTATAAAAGCTCACTTTGCCAAATACGACATGCCAGTTGTGGGAGTGCTCGTGCCTTCCTTCAAGCTTTAGATGTGTTCTGAAAAGCTTTCTTCAAGTAGAGTTCTGCTAACCACATTCCCTTTAAGATGGGCTATGAAGTTTCTTGTATCTCTGAAGGGAAACAAGAAACTTGTAGTTCTAATAACCACAGTGGAGAGGGAGATTGGTGGATAGCAGTAGGATGGACACTGACTCGTCACTATCTACCCTTCTGCCTTGGTGTCTCAGTTGGTTGGACGACTGCCTTCGGCTCAGGTCATGATCCTGGAGTCCTGGGATCGAGTCCCACATCGGGCTCCCAGCTCCATGGGGAGTCTGCTTCTCCCTCTGACCTTCTCCTCACTCATGCTCTCTCTCACTGTCTCTCTCTCAAATAAATAAATAAAAATCTTTAAAAAAAATTTTTTTTTTTAACCACATGCTTGTATTTATTTTTATTAGCTTTATATATATGTATGTACATAGAGGTACATGTATATATGTATTAGTTTTACATACATATAATGTATGTATGTATACTCTGTGACATTGCTATTCATTCTCATTATTTTAATTTTTTTTCAAAAAGCAGTCAGACCATATGAGACAGTTTGGAAAAAAAGAGGAAGAAAAATAATTATTCCAAATCCTACAATAATTCTAAAACAACCTTGGTATTGCCACTGAAAAATGAATTCTGGGGCACCTGAGTGGCCCAGTCGGTCGAGCGTCTGAGTCTTGATTTTGGCTCAGGTTATGATCTCAGTCTCCTGGAGTCAAGCCCCATGTTGGGCTCACTCCTCAGTACAGAGTCTGCTCTTCCCTAGCCCCCTCCTCCATCCCACCCTGCTCTCCCTCTCAAATGAATGAATGAAAGAATGAATGAATGAATGAATGGAACGTTTAGGGGGAAAAAAAGAAAAACAAATTCTGGGGTAGATGTTTTGTAGAACAAACAAACCTGACACTCCCCTTGAACCTTTTCTGTAAATAGGTATACCAAATTATAGTAGGATATTCCTTTATTTACTGTTGTTAGTAAATGAATTTCCTCCATAATCTTCATGGTTATTCATTTTCTCCTCCCCATTTTGACAAGAGTAAAACTCCAGAAAAAGACACCCCAGTCTCGTCTCAGGCCTCACCTATGCTCTCCCCACAACTGCCCCCCAGCCCCGCCACAGCTGGTACACCTGCCCACAGCGGGTACACGTGCGCAGCATGTGGCAAGGGCAGTTAGGAAGAACAAAGGAAATAGAAATGCAGGAGTAGAAGAGCCAGAATTTCCTAGTTGGTCGGATGTGGGGATAAGGAAGATGGTAAGCCCAAAGATGACCAGGTTCCAAGTATAAACAGGAGGCTAAGAGATTGGGTTTTGGAATTAAAAATCCCTGGATTCAGATCCCATTTCTGCAGATCGTTAGTGGTCTGATCTTCAGTAATGTTCTTTGCCCCCAAGCCTGTTTCCTCGTCTATAACATGGGGATAATGTAGTGCCGGGGTCACTAGGTCATTGGACGGCTTAAGAGAGAGACTCCACGTACAGCACTTAGCGTAGTGCCTGAGTGTTTTCTACTTTTAATTATTAATGGTGATGGTATTTTTTTTTTTAAGAGAGAACATAAAAAGAGGAGCAGAGTTGGGAGATGGTGAGGGAAGGTGATTTCCGTTCAGACGATCTAAGTTTGAAGTACCCAAGGGACGTGTGTATTCTGCGGTATCCGGAAGGCAGAGCCTTGGGCCTGGGGTGGAAAGGGGCTCACCTGTGCTGCAGTGGGGGGTTGGATCCTGGCTCTGCTGCCGTGGTTTTGTACCATTCTCTGACTCTTGTGTCCTAGCTGGTCTCAAAACTCACATTGTCTGACCCTGTGGAAATGTTGGATCACCTGGAAAGACTAGTGGTTGCTTATCAGAGCGCACTTGGCTAACTGGAGTCTGTGTGTGTTTCCCACCTTGTTGGGCGTCAGGACTGCTGTGTGTGTCCGGATGGGTTGCTCACCTGCTCTAGGGTTTCCGCCCCGCGGTGGCAGGAGGTGAAATCTGCTGCCCTTCCCTGGCTCCCAGGATGTCCTCAGGCACCCTGGGGGTGGTGGTGGTGGGGGTGGGGGTCGTAGGGTTGGATGGGGGACCCTCTGCTGATGTTAAATTCCATGTGGTCAGTTTAAGTTCTTATGATAGGGACCATTTCCTGGGGTGCTTACTTCTCTCCCTGCAGGTCATCAACGCTGTGGTGCTGCTGGTTCTGCTGAGCTCTCTGGCGGACCCGGACCAGTACCACTTCTCAAGTTCTGAGCTGGGAGGCGACTTTGAGTTCATGGATGATGCCAGTAAGTACATCAGATAGCAGCTGTCGTGGCTCTTCGGGTATTTTTCAAGGGCGGGGAATCCTGCCGCCAGGTCTTCCTGTTAAATTACAAATATTGATTCGTGGGCCCATTTGAACTGATACTTCCCTTTCTTTCCGTCGTTACAAATCAGATCAACAGATACTTACGTGCTGCTTGTGCTCTGCTGCTGTTCTAAGTGCAGGAGTCTAAGTAGATGTCTCTTTTCCTTTTTTTTTAAATTAAAATTTTTTAAATATTTTAATAAACATACAATGTATTTTTATCCCTAGGGGTACAGGTCTGTGAATCGCCAGGTTTACACACTTCACAGCACTTAGCATAGCACATACCCTCCCCAATGTCCATAACCCCACCCCCCTTTCCTGACACCCCTACCCCCTTCCTTTTTTTCACCCCACCTTACATTAATTTTCTTTGTTTAAAGAAAGTTAATTTTTTAAATTACTGCTTTGTTGTTTTTTACCCTGGGCCTTTTTAGCCTTTAAAAAAAATTTTTTTTAATTTTTTAAAAAAGATTTTATTTATTTATTTGATAGAGATCACAAGTAGGCAGAGAGGCAGGCAGAGGAGAGGAGGAAGCAGGCTCGCTGCTGCGTAGAGAGCCCGATGTGGGGCTAGATCCCAGGACCCCGGGATCATGACCTGAGCTGAAGGCAGAGGCTTCAACCCACTGAGCCACCCAGGTGCCCCATAGCCTTTTTTTTTTTTTTTTTAAATAAGATTTTATTTATTTGTCAGAGACACAGTGAGAAAGGGAACACAAGCAGGGGGAGTGGGAGAGGGAGAAACAGGCTTCGCCTGGAGCAGGGAACCCAACACGGTGCTTGGTCCCAGGACCCTGGGATCATGACCTGAACCAAAGGCAGGTGCTTAATGACTGAGCCACCCAGGTGCCCCCACCTTTTGGCCTTTTTTTTTTTTTTTTTAAGATTTTATTTATTTATTTGACAGAGAGATCACAAGTAGACGGAGAGGCAGGCAGAGAGAGAGAGAGAGGGAAGCAGGCTCCCTGCTGAGCAGAGAGCCTGATGTGGGACTCGATCCCAGGACCCTGAGATCATGACCTGAGCCGAAGGCAGCGGCTTAACCCACTGAGCCACACAGGCACCCCCCTTTTGGCCTTTTTAAGAGGATGTGGAGTAAATGGCAGGAAGCAGGGTCATAAGGATCATGCATATCTATCTCATTGGTTCTTCTCTTATGTTTCTGTATTTACTTTTCTTTTAGGAGATGATCATTCTCTGTTACAGAAGCTCTGTTGCTCATTATTTGGTGGACTTGGGCCTTTTTCCAATAAGTAGAAACATACACAGGAATGTGGATGTGTGATAGACCAGAAGCTTTAAGGTCATAGACACCTGAACATTTTATAATTATAGTCATGCTGTGTCCACACTGCCTGAAAGGGGCAGTGTTGTGCATAATCCCAAACAAAAGATCATGCAAATGTAATTGTCATTGGCTTTGGAGAACTGTAAATGCATTTTAAGAAAAAGGTTGGGGCAAAATGAGTAAGGTGGGGAGACAGTGACTCAAGGTACAGTTTTGGGATAGATTGGGAACATTCAGAAGACTGTGAGGCTTGTGGGTTCTGTTCCCAGGGTGAGAACATCGCTGTTCGGTGGCTTTTAGTAATTCAGCGGTTATGCATTGATGTGTGTTTTATGCAGATCCCTTTCACTGCTGAGAGAGGAGGATGCATTTAGGAGACTGGTGCATGAGTATAGAGGTCTGGAGACTAGTTTGGGGGTGTTTCCCTGTGATCCAGGCTGCACTGAGGATGGGGAAGAGGGTGGGTTTTGGAGGTAGGATTGATAGACCTTGTTAATGTGGGTGAGGAAGGGAGGGAGGAATCAGACGATCCCTGTTTTCCAGCTTGAATAAAAGACTGATCTCTAGGGGGAAGAGAGTCTGGGTTCAGGAGATGAGTACTTATCTAGGGAGGGATCTTGGCTTCGCTTTGAGTAACTCAGCGAGGTGGTTAGGAATCTGTGCTCTGAAGCAGAAGACCTTAGTTTGAATCCTGACTGTGCCATATATTAAATGTGTTAACATGGGGCTAGTCAGTTACCTTTGTGTGCCTTCCATTCCCCCACTAAGAGATAGGGCTGATTATAGTATCTGCCTCGTGGGATTGTCGTGGTGATTAAATCAGTTAGTACACGAAAAAAAACCCACATAGAATGGGGTCTGGCCCATAGTAAATGCCCAGTATATTTTGCTCTTTTACTAACCATTCTTACTTAGGTGTGTTGCAGCTAAAACACGAGCTGTGGAGAGATCAAAAAGGTGGTTGGGGGGGGGCACCTGGGTGGCTCAGTTGGTTGGGCTACTGCCTTCAGCTCAGGTCATGATCCTGGAGTCCTGGGATCGAGTCCCACATCAGGCTCCCAGCTCCAAGGGGAGTCTGCTTCTCCCTCTGATCTTCTCCCCTCTCATGCTCTCTCTCACTGTCTCTCTCTCAAAGAAATAAATAAAATCTTAAAATAAATAAATAAATAAATAAATAAATAGGTGGTTGGGTATGTGACTCTGTAACCCAGAACCCCGACGTCCGGGCTGATGTAAATTTGAGGACATCAGCCTAGAAATGGTATTTATGTTAAGGACATAGTGAAGGGGAAAAAGGAAAAGGAAGGGGTACCGGATTGAGCCCTGGAGAAGCCCATCAGTAGAGGCCAGGACAGGAGCCCGGGAGCAAACTGGTAATGGAATAAGCAGAAAACCAGGAGACGCTTTTCTCTTCTCTATTTTTTTTTTCCTTCTCTTTTCTTCTCTCTTTTCTCCGCTCCTCTTTTCTTGTTTCTTCTCTCTTTTTTTTTGTTTCGTTGAAGATTTCTTTATTTTAGATTTTAGAAAGAGGGAAAAGAGACAGCATGAACTGGGGGAGGGGAGCGCGCAGAGGGAAAGGAACAAGCCGACTCCGTGCTGAGCGTGGAGCCCGATGTGGGGCTCAGTCTCCTGGGCCCTGAGATGATGACCTGAGCCAAAACCAAGCGTTGGATGCCCGGCCTGCTGAGCCACCCAGGCGCCCCCGGGAGACGCTTTCTGTCACCTTCTACCACCGTAACTTTGTGATCTGTCCGAAAGAGTCAGGACATTATATTCTCCTGGGGTGTGGGACCTTGTCAGACTGAGACGGGACTTCTGCTATAACATTGCTGCTCCTCATGATTTTGAATAACCCTGTTACTCTTACGGATTCTTCCAAAAAGGATAATGAGTTCCATTAATATTAAATTAATATCTCTGCCTTCCTTCCCCTGAGCTAAGACTATGTAAGCTATAGACAGAATGTTTGGTTGACATTTAAAAACAAATTATCGTTTCGCTGTTTCCAGTAGCGGGATTCCATTTCTAAAGTAATTGAGGTTAGAAAAGGAAGTTTTAAATGATACAGCTATAGTATTCTCTGGACCCTATAGTAATACTATATGCCTTGATCTAATTGCCAGAGATTAAGCTGGGTAATGAGTCGCTGACAGTATAGGCTTAATTTAGCTGACTTAAATGACTTGCTGGTACTTAAGAGTTTAAAATAGTAGTTGTTCTCTAATGTCCTGGATATTAATTCCAGTGCATTGGAGGTTTCTCTCATATGTCATATATTTAAAAGAAGTGAATGAAGAGTTTGTAATTATTGTTAGGACTCTATCAGTCATTTAAGTTACATGTTATAAAAAGGTACAGAAGAGTGGATAGTGACTTGAGTGAGTCTTTTTTTTTTTTTTTTTAACTTTTTTTGCTTACATTCCTTTTCATATGGTTAGATCGGCTTTTTTTTTTTTTTTTTTTAAACAGGACATTTTATTTTATTTCTTTTTTCTTTTTCTTTCTTTTTTTTTAAGATTTTATTTATATAACAGAGACACAGCGAGAGTGGGAACACCAGCAGGGGGAGTGAGAGAGGGAGAAGCAGGCTTCCCATGGAGCAGGAAGCCCGACTCGGGGCTCAATCCCAGGATCCTGGGATCATGCATGACCTGAGCCAAAGACAGACGCTCAATGACTGAGCCACACAGGTGCCCCTGGATCTCCTTTTTAAAAAAGATCGATATTTATTTGAGAGAGAGAGAGAGCAGGAGCAGGGGAAGAGGGAGAAGGAGAAGCAGACTCCTTCCTGAGACTCCCTGGGATCATGACCTGAGCCAAAGACTAATGCTTGACTGACTGAGCCACCCAGGTGCCGCAGCCCCCCCCCCCCCCCCCGCCCCACTTTAATGTGGAGCTTGAACTCACGACCTTGAAATCAAGACCTGAGCTGAGATCAAGAGTCAGATGCCTAATCCACTAAGCCACCTAGGTGCCCCATCTCCTTTTTAAAACAAATTTTATAGGTCAAAGTTCATTGTGTTTGACAAGCCTTTCTGTATTTAACTCACACATGGATAGAATTAAATAATTCTTGAAATGGGTACAAGCAATTGCTTTAAATAGCAATTTTAAGTTGATATCTTCTTGGAGTGGTGGTGGTGATATGCAGATTTTATCCAGGACAGAGCGGGAATGTGTTTCACTTTTCCATATGGTATTTTCCTAAAATAATATGGTAGAATAAGATTTATTATTTACATCGAAACAAGGCATATGGGAGAATCCTCTAGGATAAAGAAAGTAGGATTTCTCTTTAAAAAAAAAAAAAATCTGGCCCTTTAACATTTGTATTTTTATATATGTTATATGATGCAAAAATAATACATATTTATAATTTATAAATAAATATTTTTATGCCCCCCCCCCCCAGTTGACTACACTAAGAAAGCATGAGGAACTGTCATAGGTTGGAGGAAACTAAAGAGACACAACTAAGTGTAGTACGAGATCCTGGATTGGATTCTGCAACAGAAAAAGGACGATAAAAAGGAGACGTGTAAAGTTCACACAATTTTTGTAGTTTAATTAATAATATTATAAAAGTGTTAATTTTCCTGTTGTTTGTTTTTTTTTTTAAGATTTTTATTTATTTATTTGACAGAGAT